TTGTTTTATTTTAATGACAATTGGTTACCAACAAAAATAGAAGTCAAAACTGACACAAATGAAACCTACATCTTCCCCCTGTACACCTGGATTACTGACAATGAGAAACACTACTTCAGAGAGGGTCAAGGTTTGTGCAATTACAGTGAGAGTTTATCTGAACTTAAGGTCTAAATTTGCATCTTTCACCTTAACCCTAAATTCTTGCTATGTTTGCTTTAGCTTTTATACCCTCACAGGACCCTTTTGACTCATGCAGTCGACAGGAAGAGCTTGATAATCGGCAAGAAGCATATCAGTGAGTGATGAGAGATGGTATAGAAATGACATTTATGCCAACAAATCTTTTTTACTTTTGGATGACGGTTAAATAGTTATACAACTGATCCAATCAGTTTGTATTTGAAAAGCAATATGTAACTGTGTTAAAACTACCTTACTGTAAAACAATAAACTGAACAACAAAGAAAACACCAAAGGTAAAAACTTTTTACTTTAACACATTTTCAGCTGGAAAATATCTGGAAAAAGAATACCTGATCATATCAAAGCAAAATATTGCACGGACCTGCCTTTAGACGCCTGGTTCATATTCAGCAAGTTCACCGGTTTTGTGACTACGGGAATTATGGGGTTAGTCCTTATATTCTAAATGTTGATAATCAATAAACTTTTCTCTGTGTGCACAGACAGTATTGAAACATCTTGCACATATTATAATGCATTCATTTTAGTAACAGTGTTTCTTCTAACTTTATAGCAAAATATGGGAAGAATGGAAGAAACCCTGGTTTTTCAGTGATAATAAATGGTCTGGTTTTGATGAGATCGGTGGGATGATGGATTACAGCAAAAACAAAATTTTGGGTAGGTTGTATTATGTGTGTGTGTGTGTGTGTGTGTGTGTGTGTATATATATATATATATATATATATATATATATACACACACACATCGGCATTTGCCTAGTCCCTTATAAATTCACACCCTCACATTTTGTTACAGACTATGTCAGAAACAACTGGAATAAAGATGATTTCTTTGGCTACCAGTTCCTGAATGGTCTTAACCCCATGGTGATCAGACGCTGTGATACCCTGCCTGACAACTTTCCTGTCACTGATGACATGATCAGCCAGCACAGCAATGGTCCCTCTTGGCTGGATCAGGAAATGCAGGTGATTTTAAAATAGTTTTTATGCTAAAAGTCTGATTCTTAAATAAATGTGATATTATCTGCCAGATCAATAAAGGTCTTTTATTTTTATCTCTACAACAGTGTGGCAACATATTTCTGTGTGACTACAAGATGTTGGACAAAGTAGAAGCAAGAAAAATAGATGGAAAGCAGCAATACCTGGCGGCTCC